GCTGCTGTTCTGTCTTACTGTGTGTTCTGCAGCAGAGATTCTGTGGATTTGGAAGTCTAAGGGACTTTGCTTCTTGCTGATTGTTTTGATTCTATTCTGAATTATGTAGGTGTGACATCAGGTATTGAACTTTTCACATTATCTTTGTTTTCAAATGGAAAAATTGACCGAACATTTATTTCAAGGCAAAGGAATGTTATCTGAATGTAGCTATGACTACTTGTGAAAGATTAATATTGGAATGTGAACAGTCAATGTTACCAACATCTCTAATCTTTGCATCACTGTTCCTAAAATCTGTTACGAATCAACAAATCCTGAAGTATCCTCCAAATTCACTGTCATTTAATCTTTATTATTGTCCTACTTAAGAATGCTTGTGGTTCATTACTAGCTCTCTACTTGCTATAGCAATTAATTTGTATCTAGCTTTTAATATTAAAATGATACTTAAGGAGTTGCATGCTACAGATTAAATGCTATTTTAATAATATGTGCAAATCCTTTCCCTCAAAATGAGTCATTTGCTTGCTTGTACGTTACCACAAAAGCAGTCCACGAATGCTGTACTGATCATTGTTTTGCCTAGGGGGTGACCCAGCTAGCCATACTCAAGGGTCATTTCCCAGCATAGGGAAGTCAGCAGACATTTGGAACAGTCTTCACACCTCTGATATTGCGATCGAGCATCCATCTGATGAATTACAGGAAATCCATAGAGAAAAAGTTTGATTTTTACTGGAATCTTAAATTTACATATATATATATATATATATATATATATATACACACACATTATAGAATAGAGATTGCTATTGTCATCAGCACTTTTAAGGTAGAGCCTAAGATTAAGTTTTTAGATACAGAAATTGAAAGAGCAATTCTAGATGAACTCTGGACATAAAAGAAACAGAAGTCTCATCTGAGGTTTAGGTAGCTATAAGAATGTGTGTTTTATTTCTGCATCTTTTGATTCTAAACCATGTTGCTAATACTCAGGTAATGTTTTTTTTTCTTTTTAATATTAACAACTGTTTAGGTATTACAATCAATTCTTACTTATAACAACCAATACAGAGTTATAATCTCTAAATAAGGTGATACTTACAGTGCTGAAAACCTGACTTGAGGTTCTTGGAAGAATTTATCTGCTGAGCTGTGAAGGAAATGAGGAAGCTGGTAATGCAGGCCACTGTTCTGAGGATCTCCCAGGAATCAAGGCTACTCAAAATGCTATTGGCTCACAGAAGAAGGTGGAGCAGTTTTATGTATACAATACATTCAGGAGCCTATTAAAGATCCATTCAAGACTTGACTCTAGCAGTCTCTCTCTAGGAATTATTCTTTGGCTGTACAGCCTTCCTCACATTAGTTAACTAATGGAACTTAAGCAGCTCTCCTGTATGTTTGTTGTTTAAGAAGTTGTTTTACATTTAGGTAACATGACACTTCCTGGGTTTTTCACTAGAGAAAGATTCCCATCCCAGAAAACTTACTTGATTCAAAGGCTATTTTGAAGTAGATTTCTTCCAGTTGGTCCACACAATGGACCTATCTACCTACAATTTTAGCTGCAAAAGATGTTGAAGCCTTATCGTGGGAGTGTGCCAGGATGGCATTGTGTTCTCTTATTTGGGAGAATAAGCCTCCTTTCACGTATCACCGTACTTAGAAGTGCTAATAATTTGAAAAATGAAAACTATACTATCAATATATAACATATTATATATACATTCAGTATGTATATGTAAATAGCTTTGTTATAAATAAATTTATTTACATATTGATTCTAAATAAATGTGTGGGTCATGCATGATTGATATATACATCTGTACATATACATGTATGTAGCTTAGGGACCGATCTTGACCAATAGCTTATTTAAAAAAAAAAAAGTTAAAAAAAAAAATCAAAAGCTGAGCTTCCTCAAAATTTTTAAGCAGTTTTCACGGCAGTAAGAAATGTATGTAGAACCCTGTATTTTCATGTGTGATTTGCACATCAGCTGAAATGCAGGATATTTTGACACTTTCTAGCAAAGAGTAGTACCTTTTCTGACACGCCCATTCCCTGGTTCAGTAAATGGGAATTAAAAGGTTACTGTTTTTGTGGTTCCTGTGTATTATTCCCTGTCAGATCTCAGTCACCCACTGGTGGTTTGAGCATCACTTTGGTCACTTTTCTAGATCGTTTGACCATCTAGTAGACAGTTTGCTTGTAATCATGAGTTAGGGGTATCCTAATTTCTTTATTTGGAAAGATAGAGTTTAGGGAGAGATGCTTTTTTTTTTTTTTTTTTTTTTTTTTGTAAAATATCAAATAAGATTTTTTGATAATTTTGAGTATTTACCTCTGACGGATGAGTTTCATGCAAAGTAGCAAACAGTGACCATGCATTCTTGAACCTTTTCTTCCCCCTTTCAGTTTTTACCGTGTTGTGTGACACATAAGCGATAACAGGAATGAAGAATATGACTAAGTATGTAAGAGCAATGCCTGCTCCTTTCTCTGAATAACAATCTATCAGATACACTGTCAAAAGGGTGACATTTGTAATGTTAAATAGAATGTTCACAATTTCGGGGGACCTATGCCTTTAGGCAAGAAAATGATCTAAAGGTATTCTCTGCAGTAGAAGATGACCATAGAACTACACATTTCATGAACGTAGAAATTTTTTTTCCTCAGTAATTTCTTCACATCCATACTCAATGCAGATCATGAAAACTTAACAAAAACAACGATGCATTTTATTTTGACCAAATGAAAACAAAGTGCACAATAGAGGAATTTCTACTACTAGTAATTTCTTACTACTATTAGTGGTAACTTTTCCTATTTTGAAATGTTCTAGAAGTGGTGAGAGAGTGGTGTAGACTCCATTAAATTTTAACTATCTCTTTTATGTTATTCCATAAGCTTTGTTGTTATAAGGTTAAAATTCTGAAAATACTGTTATACAGCAGCATATAAACTCAGTATAGGAAGATATTTTGGTGTTAATATTAAGAAGTAACTTTGTAAATATATTTGTTACAAATAAATATTAGTGAGTTGTGTTTTTACAAAATGTGTAAAACCAAACTGGTTACATTTTTAATTGCAGTTCTGAACCAAATTGAGTTCAGGACTTATACGCATTCCGGTTATATGAATCTTATAACTATGATTAAAAAAAAAAAGTGGCAGTGCAGTCCATGATGCCAGAGTGGTCAGGTGATCTCAGATTCCATGTGCTGTATTTCAGAGCAGTTTTAAAGAAGGTAAGCAGAAGCATAGAGAAGTAATTTTCGCAGAGTTACGAAGAAACTTTGAAAAGTAGCTCCATATTCTTGACTTCTCACTTCCACCTCCCCTCTCCCCTTTTTTTGTGGTTTTAGTTTTTTTCTTCACATGAAAGTCTTGGAATATTAAATCTTTTCTTAAAAAAAAAAAAAAAAAGTTCAAGTCTAAATCTTTTTTCAAGTATTTTAAAGGCTAATAACTTATGGTGGAGTTTATGATCAATGTATTGCATATCATGGCTTCTCTGAGAAGCAGAATTTACTAACCTAGAAGGAAAGCTGTATTAATACTTCTGATATCCCAGTTACCAGACTTGATGTTAGAGGTATTACTGCATAGTACTGTGTCTGTCTCATGTAGAAATATGCAATATATCTAAATGAGATATATTGAGAGAGAACTGTAATTCACAGCTCTGCTTCCCAGACATAGAAGACTTCCTTGTAAGGATTGATACAGAGTGTGGAAGGAAGAACGTTTTCTGGTCTGACTTTGTACAGTTCTGTAGCAAATCTCAGTGCAAGTTTGTGTAGGAGGAGAAGGTGATGTTATATTAAACAAAGCTTACTCCAGTCAGTCATACTAGTGTACTTGTATTCATATACCAACTGAGGTATGTGTCTGGATAGTCTAGCTAGGAACTTGGTGTTTCCTGGTCCTCCCTGACACCCCATCTTACCGTCTTTTTCATAGCTTTTGGGTTGTTCTTATCCCTGCTTTTTTGGATGTGACTTTCATGCCCTGAAAATGTTCATACTGACTGTAATTTTCTTTTTCTTCATTCTGTCCCACCTATGTGGGTCATTAGGAAACACTGTTGATTGAATCACTGTCTTTGTGTCTCTTTTTCTGGTTGCAGTTTTTTGTTTTTTTTTTCCCTTTGCATGGATGCCTAGAGAGTCACTTGTGATCTTGGTACCATCAACACCTGTCATTCTTATAATTTCCTCTGATGCTTTTACACCTGTACATTTGAATTCACAATTTATACCAGTCTTAATGTTTACTTTAGAAACCTACAACAACAGCAACAAAAAAGGTCTTTAAGGAAAAAAAAAAATGGAAGCTGTCATTTGTGGCTTTTATTGCAAGGCACATTATCTTCAGACTGCTTTTATTTACAGATGCATACAATGACTTGGACACTCAAAACAAGCTATAGAGCACTATGGACTAAAGCAACTTAATTCAATTGCTACATGACATAGAATTATAAATATGTGTCCAAAGAGAGCTAGAGCTTCCTTTTAGTATGATGATAAAATCATGTTTATATAGATTTCCAACATCACAAAAATTGATGTCAGGATTCGCCAATTTAGAAAAAAAATCTGTTCTAGAAGTCATAAAATGGTAATATGTAACAAAAAAGTGGAAATGGTTGCAGTTCATAATACTCTGCCCTTTGATGACTATGCCTAAATGAAGTCAAGGTCAAGTAATTTTTCTATAAATCCAGAAATTCACATAGTGTATCACACTCATGTCAAATCAGCTCACAAATAGATATCAACTTAACCTGGAAAATCACGGAAAAAAAATACCCAGATTTCTGTTTTTGCAAGTGATTCTTTCTAAACCTCTCCTAATGATTGTCCTTTTCTGTTGGCAGTGGTGATTTGTCTGTTGTCTCAGTTGTCAGTTAGCCTAAGATAAAGGGAGGACATGAGCTGCAGGTATGTAATCTTCTCTTTATCTCTCCTTCAATATTTCAGGAGTTTTACTTTAAATGTGGAGCACACCCAACAACTGACAGTGAAACATCTGTGGCTTTGAACCTCGTTACAACAAACAGTCGCTCTATCACATGTATAACATGCACAGATATTAGGTAAGTACAATGAAAAGTGTCAGAGATTCACAGTCTCAGTGTTTCAGAGTACTTCTCACTTTCAAAGAGCTTTTTTCCCTCTGCTGGTTTTCCTTTTTAAACCTTTTTTTTTTTTTTTTCTTCCTCCAGTATTATGGTGGAAAATGGGCTACATATTCAGGTATATTCTTTATTTTGATGGTATAATTACAGTTTTACGTTTTTATAACTCAGCTAAAATATGGGTGGAAACCTGACTGCTACAGTCTGAAATGCTAAGATAGTGATATAGCTGTGTAGATCTGTACCTTCAGTTTGTATCTGAGAGGCAGTGAACAAAAGCACGTTTTTGAGGTGGACAAACTATTCCTGTGTATAGAAACCTATTGATATTTATTTTATAAATCAAAGCAAAATTACTTATGGTGCGTCTGTTCTCATATTATTTTTTATTGCCATTTAAATGCTGTAATCTATATTACCGTATGGTGTTTGGGCACATACATTCAAGAATACCATTGTCTGCAAAAGCATGGATTAAAAACCACTTGCCTAACAAAGACAAAAGCTACTATTGCTGTGAAGAATTAACTGAAACACATTCATCTACTGAATAGGAGAGGTTTTGAGACTCTACCTCAAAACCAATAGCGCCATGTTATTTATTTTAAGTATTTCTGTTGATTCATCTGTGTTTTGAAATATGAGAAAGTATTTAGGGGAAAAAAAAAAGTGAGTTCCCATGAGACTAAGTTAAATGTTGAGAGGTATCTTGAGGGGAAAAGCTGGTTTACTTGGAAGTCAATTTCCTACTGGAAATTTTAGGCTTTAACTCTGATTATAGCCCATACAGCGTATAATATTATGTTGTGCTTGTGTGGTAGTGCATTGATATCTGATTGGTTGCTGACAGTATACGGTTGAAGAATATTCTTCTTATTTATAGATTAAAAGATAGTTGTGCATTGAAAAGAAAGAGTATGGTGTCCAGCACTTCACATACATGCAGGGCTTCCGAAGTTGTTGTGCATCTGTTTCAGAGACTACTGTGCAAAATTACTTAGCTGTCCTAATGGTTAGGTATGCAGCAGTATTAACCTCTCTGTAATTAAGGATAATGTGTGGTTTCCATTCTTAGCCCAGCCTTTTTCTTTTCCAAAGAACAAGAGTGTAAAATATCAGCCATAAATGTGTTTACTTAGGCTTGAGAATTGGTTATAATTATTTCAATCAAATTTAAAATGGGTATGTTGACACTTTCCTGAATTGATATATTCAGTACAAAACTACTCATCTGTAGTCATGAATTTGTAATTTCTTTCACAGTTTTGTGACAAAATCCCAAAGGAAAGAAAGTTTGGACTGAATTTTCTGAATTTGCTTAGCTGAATTGTTCCTAGGACTAACTATTGACTTCCTAAACTTTACTAGTAAATGTTACTTGGACTATTTATTACAATACCACAGAAGTATGCTAATTCTCATTTATTTAAGTTAAGACATCAAATGACTGTGGAAACCTAAGTTTCAGTAGACTTATCTCAGCCCATCATTATGGGAGCATTTATTCATAAATAAGTTTGTTGGATTTATACAGCAAACAAGGAAGGATTTAGATACTTGACCAGCTTGCAAGGCAGTAACAGTTGCTAGTTACCTACCCATGCTGGGGCTACAGGAAAGACTGATTATGTTTATGAGTGACTTCAATCTTCTTATGTTAAGTAGCAGATTCAATTGGTCATAAATAGGTTTGTCTTCCCCTATGGAGCATAAAGATAATTTTTAGAAAATGAAAGTTCTGTTTGGTTTCCTGAATGGCTAATAGATTTTACTTGGTCATAGCAAGATCTATGAAACCTGTGGCATGAGTGAGAGATATCTGCCACCTCTTTAATAACAAAACAAAAAAAAAAAACAGCCTACAGATCAGCTTTATTCTTGTCAGTCCCCAAAAACTCAAGGGATCATGCTTCCATCCCAGTATGTCTCATGGGACATAGAATGATTTTTTTTTTTTTGGCAGAAGGCACTGAAATCCTTTATCCCAGGAGTAAAGGAGTGTGCAGGGGAGTCCTCCAGTAGCTTGTTGTTGTTATAAGCATACTAATAAATTTACGTAAGCAGATTTCAGCTTCTCAATTCTTAGCACTGTAGGCATAGGCTTCTTCTCTGATTCTTCTCTAATTACATCTCGAGATGTAATGAAATTATAATGAGGATATCTCATCCTTTTCTTGTTTACTTCATAAAATTTTAAGGATGACCTTTGTTCTCCTGCACACCTCCTAATCTACTCCCACCCATGAGCAAGTCTTTTGTTCTGGCCAGTGGGACTGCACAAGGTGAAATCCGTAGGAATTAGACAATATTATTTCAGATCCTCTTCTCTTTTGTAGTTGACTAACTTGATTTTACCTTGACTCTGTCTTAGGGCAGATAGCACCCTTGCTTACAATAAAATGTATGCCAAGGAGAACTGTAAAGTCATAGTTGGTCAAAAGAAAGTAGCAAGGTACGTTTGAACTCTATGCTGATTCATATGGTATGTCTTCTAGAAAGAGATGATTTTGAAAGCATCCTTGTTGGTGTAGTTGCAGAACTAGCAGCTCCAAATATCAGTCACTCTCAAATTGTTAATTCAGGATTTCATAGCAAGATTGCAGACCAACCTAAAAGCTTTTAGCTCTCCTGGCTCTTCTAATGATTCATTGGGCAAGAAGTGATTTCTTTTACTGCAGTGCAGAATCTTGGCATCCCTCTGTACTGCTAAATGAAAGAAAGCCAACAACTGATTCCTGATCCTGAGGCAAAAGGTAACAACTGGTAGATGTCCTACGCAGTACTGTGATAGTTTGGCTCTTAGTCACAGCCAGATTGGCATAATCTTGATGCTAAAACCTGAGGGCTCATTGCTGAAACTGCATCCACAGTGAAAGTATACCTTTTATCCCAGTGTCAAGACAGTGTGCAATAGGGTTATTCATGTCCTACTATCCACTATGCAGGGCTCAGGAAGCATCCAAACACTTTACTGAACATGGTGAAGTACAACGAAGAGGTGAAATTACTGCAATAAAACCTGAGTTTCACAGGATAAACATTAGCCATTTCCAGGACCCATGTACTGGATTTTCAAGAAGTCTGTCTTTCTTGATTGCAAGAAAAGTTGTTTCTTCCTGACAGCTTACTGGGCTCTCCTCTCGACCTTAAAAACAAAACAAAACAAACAAACAAAAAAAAGATTAAAAAAAAAAAAACAAAAAAACTTCTATAGGCACATTTCTGTGTTAAGTTTAAAGTTTTGTAAATGCATTCATATGTTAAATGCTAATTATCTTTCAGAGGTTTTGAGTTTTAAAACCACAAGTCTATTTTTACTTTTTTTATATACTGAACATTTGTAGGTGCTATCAAAAAGACCTTAACTCTCCTTCTGAAGTAAAACCAGGAAATAATAAATATCTCAGTTTCTTCTTCAGTCTAATACTCTCATCTTACCATTGATCATTAGGATGAGGATTCTTTGCTTTAATCTTTCAATACTTTCAGTGCCAACCAAGGTTTCTTTATCATTGTTCTTATTCATGTGCATACATACTTCTTGGAGGAAAAAAAAGAAGTCCAGTGTATGGTTAAACTTCCTTTCTAGCTATAGTCAGTCATCTTCCATATTCTTTTATGGCCAATCTAGCAAGTTTTCACGTATATGTTTGGGTGAATGAAATAATTTTCCAATTAAAACTTTAAAACAAATCATTTTCATTTCTATTTTTTGACTTATTTCTTTCACCCCAATTGCAAGAATGATCAAAGGTAAGCACGTTTTACACAAAGCTAGAGTTAGAACAATAAAATCAATTATGAGTGTTGTGCAAAGGTTGTTGTAAGTAACTGTGCTACCTATGAAATCTCTGCTCACTGGTTTGAGTTTTTAACTCTTTTCTCCAACATAGTGTTCTTAGAACATTTACATAGAACTTAAATATATTTATACACATAACCTTATAACTTTATTTAAACATATAGGTGACTATTTTTGGCGGTGATCACTTTCTAATATTCTTATGCAGTTGAAAAATACCAGTTCTGCTGATTGTAGTCTAACATTCAGCTGGAAACGAGCAATATCTGTATTTGGTGCAATAACGGTTACTTTGTGTTAGCTCTGCTACAGGCAAAAAATGTATATTCTTCATAATAGATTTCTTTATTATTTTCTGAAAAAAAAATGAAATGAAACAAGAAAAAAATGAAATGAAACAAGAAAAATGACAACCAGGTGTTATTTATGTGCTCATAGACAGGGTGGTCAAGCATCGGAATGGGCTGCACAGGGAATTGGTGGAGTCCCCATCTCTGAAAATACTGAAGAGACATGGCACTAAAGGGTCACGGTTTAGTGATGGGACATGGTAGGTCAGACTGATGGTTGGACTTGAAGATCCTGAAGATCTTTTCCAACCTAGATGATTCTATGATTCATCTGTTTGTTCACATGTATTTATCATGAACAACTAGTCCACCACAGGTGGACCAATTAATAAATCTCAAGATGCTTGGCACAACAAACATGATTTTAGCTGGGCTTACAGAGCTCATCAAAAATCTTATTTAAAGAAATATTCTATGTATTCTATCATATATAGAAAAATACACAGTGAAAGGAATGTTTAAGCATATTGCCAGTTTTATTCTCAAGTTTACATTAGGCACATATTCTTTCACCCTGGATTTATATTTGATATGAATATTTTCATGCAGCTCTGACCAACAGAGTGAAATATTTTAGAGCCAAATACCTTTGTAGGGTTATGCTAAATCCATAGCCAATGTTCCACATAGTGTAATGCCTTCCAATGCTTTTTGCTTATCTACAGTGGAGTTGGTATGAATTGGCAGCCTTTATGCATTTATTTCTTTTTGTAGCATCGAAGGTGATGGGTTGCTATTTTATATCTTTGAAGAAGCTCATAATATGTTGAGCAAATGGCTGAAAGTTGAAACAAATACTAAAATGG